TATTTGTTGGTATTTTTTGTTGGTATTTTGTTTTGTGTTTGTATTTTGTTGGTATTTGTTGGTATTTGTTGGTATTTTGTTGGTATTTTTTGGTATTTTCTTTTGTGTTTGTATTTTGTTGGTATTTGTTGGTTAAAAATATATTTAGTCAATATTTATGTAAATTATTGATGACTTGATATTGTGATGTTTTTTGTTTTGTAATGTATTGAGGAAAGGGCAACTATAAGTTGAAATAACTTGTGCCCGATCCTTTCGTAAATAATTTACAATAAAATATGTTTAATTCATTTGTTGGTATTTTGTTGCTATTTTGTTTTTTTGTTGGTATTTATTGGTATTTTGTTCGTATTTGTATTTTGATTGTATTTTTGTCGGTATTTTTTTATTTTTTCATAATATCCTGCTCATATACCAGGCGTTACTTCCTTAGTCAGTCATAACTTGACTTTTACATCTCTTTAAGCTAGTGTCTTTCATAATCTACATTGTGAGTGACGACGTACATTCAAGATGGGTGCAAAATGGTTTATAGACTTCCGGAATGCCTTCAGAATTTTTCCTGTCATTCATGCTGCTTTCATTTAAGGTTTGGCGTTTCCTTTTTTATGCTATATTTTTTGCTGATATTTCTACGTCCATGCCATAAAGTGTTATAAATCACAGCGTGTGTGTTTCTGATAATGCGATATACTTAAATCTGTACAATATCTGACACTATTCCTACCCTCACAACAAATGTGTTAAGTTCCTTATCTACTTGTAAGTATCATATATGACGTAACTTGTGATATTTCTCGGACTGGAAAAAATATCAGCTTTGGAATGTAGTTATGATTCGTTCACACTGAGGTCGCCGGTTATTAATAGGACGTAACCGATATATCTATATCGATTTTTTTTATTATTATTATCATTATATGACATCACAAAATAATGTTTGGTTATCTGTTTTGACAGGATTTTAGAATTCAACAATATCCACCAGTGTGTGTTTTAATACAATATTCAATTAATATGAATTTAACTTCATCTTGTACGTGTAGGACGATAACCTTTTTTTCTATTTAGTATTATCAATTTTTACTAGAACTACATCTTGTATGTGTACGACAATAATCATTTTTGTTATGTATCATAATCACGCTTAACTAGAAATCATCTTTGATCGATTTTTCAAAAAAAAATTGTCACGAAGAAAAGTCCACTTTTGGGAGAATATCAAAAAGTATTTTTATCCATATCGCACAGGAATGGCGTGGATTTGCTGTGATCCCTTATGGAGCATTCCTCATCCCCTCTCAGATCACTTCAATAAGACCAATAAATAATCGTTACCTTATAGATATACTGCGTTACTAATTTCCCGAATGGATAATATGATTCTTTCGGTTTTCACCAACGTATATCAAACAAATTGAAATATGAATGTTCTACTATGTTCAAGATTGCGAGTGATGTTACACAACTGTACAATAAACGACATGACTTAGTACTGTCTATAGGCGAGCTGAGGAGCGATGTGCCTTTTCATCACATGAGCCCCTTCTTTACTTAACATTTAAAAATTATAAAATTGATTAAGAAACATAATATCGTAACGCTTCCAATGAATTCCCTATATCGGGTTTTTGCCAAATGCTTTTAAAAACAGTATTTTCAGTCATGTTATATTTTTGCAACTGAAGAGCAAGATGGTATTAAGATTGAATGATGTCTCACTCTCTCTCTCTCTCTCTCAATTAAGATTCCTCACTTCAATATTCGCTATGCAACAACATTACAATTGTATCTTATTGTTTCCGGCATTCGTTTCTTAAAAAAAAAACAAAGTACGGCAAAATTACGATCTGATATAATTCAATAACCACACATAAACAACTGACAAATGGCGTGTTAATCTCAAGTTGTCGTTATATTGCCAAACAAACGTGTTTTATCAAACACAATCTTAGATATTCTCTTATAAACCAGGACACATGTTGAGAGTCCCTTGAACTCAATAGTCGCCTGTTTCATGTTTTACCACTTCTAGTTTAATCTCTATATTGATCTGTAGTCATTTTTCATTCCAATGGTATGTGTTTGTAGTACATGTCTGATGCATGACCAAACAATATCGTTGAGACACGATGCTAGTTTGATAGATGATGTGTTATAAAGTCTTTTCACATGCTTCCAAAAATATCACATTGGAAAAGTATTATGCAATGGTTTAGAACCGAGTACTTCGATTGGTCATATGCAAGTGGAATTTTCCTAGAAACACGATAACGTTCTTACATATCATCAAGGTAATGGTTTGTTTGTGAACGCAGTTTCTGTAAGTTATTAACTAATAACAATATAAACAACCCAGTAATGTATCAAATATCGAAAAAGATTTAAACAAAATACGTAAACAAGAAACTACACAGAGTTTTAGTGAAACCTAGTTCCGTTTTGGCACTAAACAGAAGACAAAAATACAGTTGAAATTGCTGAAATAGTCTCATTTTGTCCTCCTCTAAAACTCTATTGAAATGACAATGTTACCGCAACTCCCTACATGATTTCGTCCCCACCCCCAAGTGTTTTTATCATCATTTCCAGTAGATAAGACACACAAGGTACGGTTGATAGGACCAGCCATGTTTCCTCCTGCTGATAGCACTAAGATTACCTCATGCTCTGTGTAGAACATGCTTCAGTTACTTGTAATTAAGACCTTCATATCTAATCACTAGTAATTAAACGTTCGTGTCGCTATCAGGTCCACATTAATTGATTCTTTCAGAATAAATTGCATGCATTATCACTATAATACATTCTTAAATAGTCTACATATGTAAACGTTAGGCGTGACCATTTCACTACAATACATTCTTAAATAGTATACATATGTAAACGTAAGGCGTGACCATTTCACTACAATACATTCTTAAATAGTCTACATATGTAAACGTAAGGCGTGACCATTTCACTACAATACATTCTTAAATAGTCTACATATAAACACGTAAGGCGTGACCATTTCACTACAATACATTCTTAAATAGTCTACATATAAACACGTAAGGCGTGACCATTTCACTACAATACATTTGTCCATGTTAGAGAACGATTAACAAAAACGTTTTGTTATATGAAGAATAGAAAGAAAAACTTTTAACGACCTGACTAAGATAAAGGAAATGGCGGTTGATACAGCAAAGGAGGTATGCAGGTAATGTGTCAAATCTATCTAAAACGGAAACGTCGCAATAGATGACAGAACATCAATCGTACTGGGTCTTCCTGTACAAGGCAGAAAATCAGACACAGGAACAATCAGCATTGTAGAAGGCCTCGATACAGCTACATAAAGACAACAACTTTTTATAGATGGCAAAGTGGCACGTGAGGAACCATAGGAAAACATTTGAAGATAGGGTCTTGTCAATATCAAATGAACAAACGAGTAGTCATCGTGGTACTGTAGTAAAGCAATTTAGAAAAAAAAATATTGTCATCGCTAAATGGGTAAACGTGTTACAGCACAAAAAAAACGGGGAAATACATTGGGGAAGCTAAATGGACATAAGTGTTCGTACTAAAGCTTAACCAGGCCACCAAAGAGGGAAGTACTGATAACAGTTAATGGGCATATGTGTTCATACTATAGCATAGTCAAACAAGAGGGAAATATTGACAATAGGTAATGGGCATGTGTGTTCATAATATAGCATAAAGAGTCAAACAAGAGGGAAGTATTGACAATAATAAATGGGCATATGTGTTCATACTGTCGCTTAACGAGACAAACAAGAGGGAAGTATTGACAATAGTTAATGGGCATATGTGTACACACTATAGCATAGTCAAACAAGAGGGAAGCATTGACAATAAGAGGGAAGTATTGACAATAGTTACCAAAGTGAAATACAAACTGATAAATACAGAAAAAGAACGGTCGGTATTTCCTAGTCAAAAACCTTTAAGAGGTAAATATAGGCAATATGATACCATGTGTATGTATATGCAGGATTTAATCAAAGATAAGAAATAATTCAGCACAGCAAATTTATGTTTGCTCGATTTCTCTAAGCCATTTGGTTATTTAAATGCTAGATGCTATATTTAGAATTCAGTCAATCTTCACAACATGGCAAAATGAAAAGACAATTAATATCAGCTGAATTGCATACTGATATTCAATTTAAGGGTTTTAATCAAATTTCTTTTACTGGCAGCAGCTTGGAAAATATGGAAAGGATACCGCGAATAATGTCAGTCCCCAGTGATAAAACGTTGATAGATTAGTCCTTGGATGTAATGACAGCCTAGTCGAATCAATACCTAAATAACACCTCAAAATGCAATATGAAGATTCACAAAAAACCAATTTGAGTATCAGTCTTGAAAAAAAAAAATGACTGAAACAATGATTCGATTGGAGACATGTGTTATGTAATATTCACTGCGGTATATCGGTTTCGGTGACATATTGGTGGAAGGATAAGCAGTACTTATTTTCAATATAATATGTTTATGAAGTAATCGATCATTTAAGGTAACATTTGATATATTAGGTAACTGGAACATATTCATGTTAATATCTAAAATTATTTCTGAAATTTAATCTATCAATAGAACTAAAATGTCAAATTCAATGTAATTGATATTTAATTAACGATTTCCTTGGTGTAATTCAACAATAAAGACATATTGAGTATATTACCGCGTAAACTTGAAATTAAGAATGAAATGAATATCAGTGGAATATTAGGTAATATGTTACTAAAATCAATATTCGGTTTAAGTTATACACCACGAGTCGCATTATTTTTAAAGTCAAATTCTAGTATTATTGATTTTAAATAAACACCAATGTTTCATTTCATTACTACACTTCCATTTTCATTTTTTAACAAGTAACTAAATATTCTCAATACTAAGACAGTCATTTTCAGATATAAAAGTGATAAATTAATTAAGATAATTTCATTTTCACATCTATGATAAAAGAACAGTGTACTTACTTGTTAGTAAAAACCAAGGTATAAGCTGGAATACCATACAAACACACACACACACGGACAGCTGGGCTATATAGTGTTACAGAAGGTGAGCAACATACGGTGTTCCAACTGCTCTCTCTGTTCTGCGATCATGACACTCTCACAGCATCTGTAACATACACAAGACACGTTGTTTGTTGTGTACGAAAACGCCCTTCCTGTCACAGCGCACGGTCCAAACACTGTTTCTGACACCACTCAAGTTGTCGGAAAGTATCTCCAGCGGCCACTGACCCTAACAGGTTCCCAATACAGCCACCGACGCTGAAACGCTTCTAAAATAGTAAAGATCCCTTAAACAGCCTATCGCATCAAATGAGACATTTTACGAGATGTGTTAGGCACGTGCGGATATATATGTACTTACAGGCTAAGCTAAAATTAAATATTTACTATGTTGTGTGTGTGTGGGTTTTTTTTAAAGATGTAGAACCTTTCGTCTATTTATGCATGTGTAAAGGCAGTCTAGAGGTCTCGGATGTCAGGGGCCATATCCATCTCGGAATGCCAAACCCTGCCGTGTAATATGGGAGAAAAACATGGGCGGGATCCTGGTAACTGTATCTAAGATTTATAATAGGGGTCAATGAATATATAGTGCACTTACGATATTGGGGTTTACTGTAGATTTGAGTCGTGCATACGGTAAATATTATTGAGAGTTCGAAGGCAATTCACTTAAGTAGGAATATAACACTTACTACTTGTCATAAAGGAGGGGGATCGAATGAAATATGCGTAATAGTGCAGTGAGTCTCTCATATTCATAACTCCCATGTAAGATACACAGAGTTAGTTCTTCTCCGTATACACTTGTATAAATTGAAATCATTACACTTTAATTTAAGGTTTTTTTATAATTAGAAAAGTCCATCCGCTACTTATCAGCACCAATATCTTAACATAAACCTTGGTTTCGCCTGTCATTAATAAAAAAAAAACCCGACCTACGCTAACGTCCGTGATTCAGGCGATAAATTCCAAATTTTGTGTTTCTAGAAATAAGATTATAGCGACAAAGGCGTGCACTTGACGCACACAAAAAGTTGACACTGGACAATAAATAATGTTAATTTGGGGAATTTCTGTGTCTTGACTTCATCAAAAAAGCAATAATTGTCTGAGAAAGATATCTAATTGTAATGCCGTTATAAGGTGAAGAGAGCGGTGTATCGAGAGAAATATGTTAATTATTACGATAAAAAAAGGCACACTAATAGAGGAACATAACAGACCAACGACCGACATTTAAAAATTACTGTTTTGTGTTGTTTTTTTGGGTTTTTTTTTCTTTTTTACGAAATAAAACCTAGAAGAAATCGTTTATGTAATAGAAAACGTTACACATTATCTTGTAGTAAGTAAGGAGTAATATAAGGGCGGATTAACTCACACATACCACACTGCGCATGGGTCAATCAACAGGAGTCTTATGTTTTAGATAGAGCTAATCAGGGTACCACGAAAAGACTGTTGGAATTCAGATACTGTTACACTTTTATGATCCAGACCTCAGTCAACTGAACGTTCCATTTCCCTGTAACTAAGATTACAGTCCTCTAACAAAAAGTATAAATTTCTCACGAGCAATGCGCTGAAAACGTAAATATCAGGACTGTTTGTCAATTAAACACATAAATAAAAAAAACATGTTTCAATTACACACAAACAATGCCCTGAGTGAAAGTGAAAGCATTAGTAACAAGGTAGGAGATGGGCCTAATTAATGAAATTCAGTTCCAATTAAAAGGAGCTATTTACTTGTGTGTCATTAGTACAATCTTTACGATAGCAAAGGGTAGACACTGCCGGTGGACTTTAAGTCCTCGAGGGTTGCTGTAACCTTCATGCCACGTTTTAGGCTCTTCGCGTCACTGAAGAGTCCTGGAAACAGCTGTATAATACAGTTTGAATTATTTTTTGCTTTACTGTACATAACACTAAATCATTAAAAGATGCTATTCACGTCTGTGTCATTTGTACAAATATTGGTATAGATATCAACAACAGGGTAATTTTCAGGGCAGCCATTCTTGTGTTTCTACTGCAGGAAATAAACACTAAAAGATGTACATAGAGAAATATTATTTTATACTCAAGCTTTCGACACCACAACTCTAAATAATTGTATTTATGAACAAATAACCAAATAAATAGACCAGCGTTGGGGCATTGGGACCCATTTACAACGAGTACATAAGTAAATATACGTCTTAAGAATCATATTACGGTGTACCTGAATTAGGTAAGAAATATACTGTCAATGAGTATAAAATGGACTGTTATTGGTATTATCATATGAAGTTTCTATCATTCAGTCATTAAACGGCTCAGAACTTTTTTTAGGGATATCCCTCACATCATTCATATCATTTAAAAGCGTTCATTAACAGACCAACTTTCTTCGTCGTGATTTACACCGGAACACTTCGAAAGTTTTCTACATTAGCAGTACAAAAGATAGATTTCCTTACTCGTAGAACCAGTACGACCTACGGACGGTTGGGTAAAACACAGATGTGTTCCTTATCTGTTACATGGTTTAACGTCCTGCAGAGTCACGGATGTCCAGAGGGACATCGCGAACGGAAACCAAAGCACAGATAGAACGAGGCAGATTGGAGAGAGAGAAAAATATATAGATTCCAAGTGTTCTGAGGGAGCAACAAATCTAGTTTGGTAGAAAACACGGAAGAAAACTTCCGAATCCACGGTTGACACATGCTTATTTACCTCTTACGAACATACAACATTAGTGCCTCTTACGACACGCAGTGAAATACAGTAGGCATATTCTTTCCCCGTCCGCCACCTGTACTGAAACAACTTTGTGTAAATATTGAGATAACCTAAAGCTGAAATCGGCTTCAGTCATTTTAGGAAGAATGAGAATTATCAACACAACTACAACAAAAACAATACAACTTAGAAATCCATGACTTCTAGCACGCGATCAACAACACAGTGACGTCACTGGTGTACTGTGTGGTGTCATTAACGATCAACAACACATGACGTCACTGGTTCACTGTGTGGTGTCATCAACGATCAAGTACATAATGACATCACTGGTTCACTGTGTGGTGTCATTAACGATCAACAACACAGTGACGTCACTGCGACACTGTGTGGTGTCATTCACGATCAACAACACAATGACGTCACTGCTACATTGTGTGGTGTCATTCACGATCAACAACACAGTGACGTCACTGCTACACTGTGTGGTGTCATTCACGATCAACAACACAGTGACGTCACTGCTACACTGTGTGGTGTCATTCACGATCAACAACACAGTGACGTCACTGCTACACTGTGTAGTGTCATTCACGATCAACAACACAGTGATTTCGCTGGTTCACTGTGTGATGTCATTTCCAGCTCTGAATTTAATTCCTTTCTTTTTCTATCTATATTTCATACGCTTAGTCGTTGTATTATCGTAACATATCATACTATCTATTTCCCATACAACTATGTGGCCACTTCACCAGTATATATGTTTTAGTGATGCAGGTAGTTCAGAATTAGACTACATTTAGATGGTGTACTGTTCTCGGTGTCTTTTCCAATCACTTTAGATCCCCCAACAACAAGGCGTACACGATGTTTCAACATATCTCCATGGACTTAAAATTCATTTTTGTGAATTATGTGCTAAATTCAGATACTTTCACCATGCTTAATTGTTCTCAAAATAACTGTAAACTATGTAATAATATTGTGTGTCCTCAACAAGGGAAATACGGTTTGTGTATCAATTAGAAAATCATTAGTCCGGATGTTCTGTTTTTGTATACATTATTATCAACCCGCACAATTTTAATTGTATATGCACCAGCTAATCATTACAAAAACACCTGAATCACGAACTACAATAAAGAATGTCATGACAACGTATCAACACAATTTTCGATATCCTTTTTAAAATTGAAACCAATAGATTTGCTCTACAATGCAACACGTACAAAACCTCGAAATATTGAAACTAAACATTCTGTGCCGATATCTATTTTTTTTAAATCGCAAAATCAATATTGCATTACTTCAATGAAAGAAATATGAAAATATCGGTCAGATGTTTTATCACAAAAATCTACAGCACGTGACTTCGAATTTTGATTTCTGTTTCGCCTCCACGATAGATGATTGAAGGTTAACCGTAACCGCCTGAAGACGAAATGAAATCATCCATCACATGGATTTGACAGAGAGTCCAAACCCGTAAAAATATTTTACAAGTACACCTTACGATAAATCTCTGTGTTTCTAAGTGAAATATCTTATCGCAACACAGCACTTGTACCTAGAGTAAGTTATCATCTGGGATGTTCCTTGTGAATTTGACGTCAGCTGGAATGTTTCAGGGACACACAATTTTGACATCTGTCTGAGCTGATTCCGACCTCAGCTGACCCATCATAGTCTAAATCAACATCACAGATAATATTGACCTGATGATGTTCATATATTTACTAAATATTTACATTATCTTCTAGTACTTGCGGTCGCAGTCTGTTCCATGTATTCTATAGTGTGGTAACAAAAACTTTTAACTTGTTATATAGTCTTAGAGAGAAAATTTCGCAAATTTAGTCTGAAACTTATTAACAATTTGTCACCTCACGGAACAATAGCCCTCGTTTCTGCAGCGACTGAGGTTGAATTTGAACGTGGAACGGAAAGTGGACGGGCGTAACACTGAATGGATATCTTTACGTGACTGAAACACAGGAACGGGCTTACCAGAATCAATGAAGACGACGCCGTCGGGTAAACGATTGTTTAACTAAGGAAATAATGAGGTAACTACCACATTGGTCGCCTCACGTCACCATATACATATGCATACTGTTTTCTTTCAATGTCTCACAATATGTAGTGACATATCTGATTCGTAAATTTGCACGGGAATGCGACAATGCTATCTTTCCAGAAAAAAAATGTAATTTTAAGCTGCGATGAATGTTACCTTAAAATGTCATTGTTATAGATATGGGAAAAACGACGACTCGACATCAAAATGTTTGTTTCATTTGACGGATTACACTGTTCATTTTGAAATCAAGTTATCGGCACGAGAAAGCAACAGGTGTAGGAAATGTAATGTAAATACAAGAATAGAACTCTCTTGAGATGGTATTTATGGTCATTATAAATGACAGAACTATGGAGTCAAATATACCATGTTTTTTTTATATCAACCATAAATGTTTCCCAATGGTGATATTAAGTATATTACGTTCCTGATTGGTGGGTCCGACATTTATGTCTGCATTACTACGGTTTATCATATGATTCAGGTTACAGGAGTTACGTTGTACAGTGTACATTTTTCGGATAAAGGAGGTACGAATTGTTTACGGATTAACGATATTTGATGTGCATCGTATATAATTGTACACTTTTTCATCAACAATTTTCTTTCAACTCACCAAGGATTCTACTTCCCGCGACA